GTATTGCTAATCGTACTGAGAGTGCCATCTGCCTTTAACAGTTTTGTAAATACACATCACAAAAGAGATCTGACCCATGAAACTTTGAGATCTACGGCACAATATCATCAAAGAATCAGATGGTTCCCCCCATATTGAACAGCTGGTCTCAAAAAATTGCCTCTAATGAGGCAGCCTCCTTGAGGGAACAAATAATTAAATCTGACTCTATATCAGATGCTCTGTCCACTTTCACCCAGCTCTCCCAAGTATTTAGTAGAACCACCCACTCCATCGGGGCCCAGTATGGGCCACATGATCTCCTGCAATGATTTAGCAAAGTTTTTTGCAGATAAAGTCGCTCAGATTCAATGATATGCATAACTCTGTAAGCACAATTCCTGCTTGGTTAATTTGAAGCTCAGGAGAGTATCTGGCTTTTACTAAAAAAGGTGGGAAAGAGGTTTCTAAATTACCCCCCCCCCTTTTTTTGCCAGAAGATGGTTATTATCGCCAATTCGGGCGTTAAAATCTCCTAAAAGGAGGAGCCTAGCCATAGGATAACTTTTCTCCATGGAGATTAAATAATTGGAACGATGAGACCATTGGTTTGTCAGTTCCTTCCTATTTCTGCATGGTGGAAGGTAAGCGTTGATTAATAAAATGTTAGACTTGGATGGATCGAGTAGCAAAGGTTGGGCTAGAGGAGAGCATGGAGCCAGATATTTCAATTTGGAGGTCAAATGAGGTTGTATGAAAAAAGCCAGGCCTGCTTGATAGTGGCCATTAGGATTGATTTTGAATGCTAGTTTGTGAAAGGTACTGAAGCCCTCTAGTACAGGACCTTTTAAAAGCCAGGTTTCCTGAACGGCTAAACAGTCAAATTGGCGTAAATAATTATTTAGGTCTAGGTCTCCCTTCTTATTGCCCCAGCCTGCAATGTTCCATGACAGAATCTGATATTGTGTTGTAATACCATCCGTGGCTCGTCATTTGGTTGAATCCGGGCTGATTTGCGTCTCCTGTGTGACTAGGGAATCAGTTCCCGTCAATCTGGGATCAGGTGTCTGTGTAGTTGGAGGCAGGAGCTTAAGGGGCCTGAGGTCTTCAGAAGGCTCCAATTGTTGGGGTGTCACCTCTGAGTCAGGCGGAGGACTGTGTGTTGGTTGGGAGCAAGGTGTCCAGTTGAGGGCCACCGCGAGTTCCTGTGCTAAAGATTTGGAAATGTTTGGGTCCTGTAGAATTATATTGGTGTACACACTATGTAGGACCCTAGAGTCCAATTCAAGATCTTCCTGTGTTACTGGGGGTTGGAGTAAATCTTTATTCTTTTTAATATTTTTGTTATGCAGTATAACATCATGGGTGGTAGGAGGTATACTATCATGTCTGTGTCTCTCATTACGCTTGCCAGGGGAGGGCAGCTGACTTGATTCCATTGAGACTTCATCTGTTATAGTGCAGTGTGATGATTCCAGGGGAGGCATAGAATCATATAGATCAGGGACGTCCAACTTCCAAGAGACTGCGATCTACTCCCAGAATAAAAAAAATGGCAGTGATCTACCCATTTTTTTGCGGGGGTAACCCTAACACTAGGAATCAAAAACAATAAGCGCACTGCCGCTCTTGCCTCTGATATGGTGCTTAGGTGAACCTTGGTTCCCCGCAACGCACAACGCAGGGAAGCAGAGGGCGGGTAACACCTATGGTCTACTGCTGCACGATCACGTTGGTAGACCAGCATGGCCGGGGATCTGCGAAGCCTCCTGCCAGAGTGAACTTGCCACAGCCTGTCGCCAGGGGCTTCCAAAACGCTGGTGCAGCAAGGCGCCGCCGGCAGTGGCTGAGTGACAAACAACTCTCGCCACATCAGGATGGCATATGCACAGATGCTCTTTTCCACCACAGAGGAAAATGAGCCACCCGAGGATCAACCTGTCAATCGCAGTCGACCGGCTGGACAGCCCTGATTTGGAGAGTTCTGCGTGCCCCATTTCTGCCCTTCCGGGATCTTATCTATCCTTATTGCCCCAGTATGAAAGAAGTCCTCATAATTAGCAAGAAGTTGAGTTTTACTTACTGGTTGTTTTAAAGGTAAAGGTAAAGGTAAAGGTAAAGGTACCCCTGCCCGTACGGGCCAGTCGTGTCCGACTCTGGGGTTGCGTGCTCATCTCGCTCTAGAGGCCGTGAGCCGGCGCCGTCCGAAGACACTTCCGGGTCACATGGCCAGCATGACTAAGCTGCAGCTGGCGAGCCAGCACCAGCTCAGCACACGGAAACGCCGTTTACCTTCCCGCTATAAAGCGGTCCCTATTTATCTACTTGCACTTAAGAGTGCTTTCGAACTGCTAGGTGGGCAGGAGCTGGGACCGAACGACGGGAGCTCACCCCGCCACGGGGATTCGAACCGCCGACCATACGATCGGCAAGTCCTAGGCACTGAGGTTTTACTCACAGCACTACCCGCGTCCCACAGGTTGTTTTAGGGGCTGCTTAATTAAGTTTGAGTTTGTCTCCCCAAAAACCCTGTGTCACCCTCTGTGCTTTAGAAGATGGTTTAGGAGAGGAGGTAGCTGCTCTATGTCTTTGGTAATTGCTATCATTGACAAGAAACCCATGAGTAATTAGTGGAGGCTTTACTTTCAGCTGAGGGTGATTGGGGTCAGCTGTATTTTTGAGAGTATTTTTTACCCTTTTATTGCACAATGGGAAGCACCTACTCTTTCTGAAGACTCTTTTGGGGGGGAAATGAAAGCATTCTAAGTGAATTTGTTTACTCCAGAGTAGTGAGGAAGTTTAAGGCTGTCAGAATGTAATAATCAGTCTCTTGTAAAAGTTTTTGTTTGGGATCCAATGTAAGTTCTCTATTTCTAAATCAGTTCACTTGCATGACAAAAGTTGACTCAGGAAATTTTCAGCTGAGCTCCTCCTACTCCAGCAATTATAGTTATCTCTTTGCTCTAGAGCAAGCATGGCCAAACTTAGCCCTCCAACTGTTTTGGGGACTACAGTTCCCATCATCCCTGACCACTGGTCCTGTTAGCTAGGAATGATGGGAGTTGTAGTCCCAAAACAGCTGGAGGGCCAGGTTTGGCCATGCCTGCTCTAGAGAGGCTCAAGCACACAACTGACTCTCCCAATGACATCAGTGTTGATGTAATGTGTAGTAGGGAGTACCACTTAGCTTTGTCTTGTCTCTGGAGACAATAAAACTTTGCTACTTTGAAGGAGAAGGGAGAGAGATAAAGAGGGAGGAGAAAAAAGAGGGGAGCCCAGACCTTGCTGTTGCTGCCACTGCTAAAGAGGAGAGGGAGAGAACCAGGAGGGCAAGGACACGCGGACGAGCCCAGGCCCAGCCCGAGCCTACTCCATGGTGGCCAGCGCACCAAGAGAGAGCAGGCCGGGGCCCAGAGGAAGGTCGCATGACAGAGGAGACCACAGAAGAAAAGATATTACTTCTTTTGTAAAAAAAACCAAACAAAAACCAAACAAATCATTTTTAAAATAACCTTTTCTCTCTCTCTCTCTCTTTTTTTAAAGTGTCCCCGGATTCTTTGGGAAAAGAATCTGGTAACCCAATTTCTAAAAGCAATGTCAGCCACCTTTGGTCTCATTCAGTTTAGTTGCTAACACAACACTTCCCACTTATCTCTCTCTCGAATTGAAGTTAATGGTGGAGAGCCTGGCACACCTCGTTCTGTGGGTGTCTAAATGACTGAAATATGGTAAAAACTGTCATTTTGCAACAGATGTCTACGTTATGTGGCTGCAGTAATTAAGAGAAGGATATGTTAACTATTCAGGATCTTTTTAAATTCAAACCTCTAGAAAATTTCAAGTTAAAGGGAAAATTGAATAAGAAATCAAGGATCCCATAGGATTTAACACTGACAGTCTCTAGTCTTGATGCTATCCTTAAATAGCTGTACCACATACTATAATCAATTCTTAAGTAAATTCCATAGGTTTCACATTAAATTGTAAATTGTCACATGCATCACATTGTGTTTGTTTAAAAATATACGTAATTATATGGAATCTGACTCCAATATATTGTGAGTTTTTACAAATGTAGGAGTGCTATATTATATGTTTAAATTGTGTTTGTGCCTTTTAATGCTATACGGTTTTAACTGGCAAAAGGAGAGGCAGAAACATTCACCCACCCACTGGGGAGTTAATTTAATTTTCAAGCTCATTTTAAACAATTGTCCCCAGTGGCTGAAGATTTTGTTAAAACGTCTGGGATCCATCCACCACTATTCCTGCTGGGCTCTAAATGCTCCCTATCACAACATTTAGCAGTACTCCACTTATTTAAATTATTTCTTAAGCATTGAAACATTCTTATATGGTGGATCATTTCAGCAATACCACAATACACAAGGTAACAATAGAATTCAGTCCCAACAATTGACATTTTTTTTTTGTTCTTTGTTGTTGGCGTCTGTCTGTCTTGAGAGACAATGGAGTGTGCTTTTGAGGGTGAAGTCAAATCTCTGCAGGAAGACGTTTTTGTTTTACATAGCAAAAAACAAAACAAAAAAAGCAAACCCAAAATTGTCATGATTTGAAGGGGATGAAATAAGAATATAAAAATTATGTCCAAAGCTTAGGAAATGTCACTAATTTCATTTTGGTTGTCATCACAGTGGCAGAGACATGGTTCTGTTTTGTGTGGGTGGGGCATGCAGAGTGAGAAAAAGGGCTATAATTTAACACTTATTTAGTCTGGAGGCAGTAGGATGTCCCCTGTACAAAATTATTTTTCAAGACCTAACGTTTCAAGCCAAAATAACACTGCGGATGGGTTTTTACTTTTGCTTTTTTATTGGGCGCTATGCTGTGCAGAGCCCTGGCATTCCCAGCATGCCCTTCCCTGCCTTTTCTATAGATTTTGTTTCTGGGAATAATGATATCCCAATCCCACATATTCTCTGTCACGCCACGTTTCTGATATGTTATATCTATGTTCTCATTTAGCACTAAACTTGCCCTGGTCGGGGCCAGGGATGCTCAGAAAAGAAGCCACGCTGCTTAAAGCAACAAGAACTTGGAAACTGCTCCCCTGATTGGCTGAGCTGATCTGACTTTGAACCACACGCTCCCTGCTTCCTCTCGGCCACTCCCCAGACCGAGAATACTCTTCTTTCCCCCTTTAATTCCCCGCAGAACAGGCCTGCGCAGAGCTTGTTTGAGGCTGGGGACAGGAGCCACGTTTCACCCTTTAAGTGCACCGTTGGCTGGGAGGCATGGGCTGCTCTTGCCATGGCAGTGTAAGTCCGGCAGGTCCCTGGCTGCCCCACCCCAACTCAGCCCTCCAAGGCACGTGTACTCCAAGGCCATCCTTCCGCCCTTGCTCAGAGGATGGACTCAGGATCTGAGTCAGTTCGTATGGGGAGAGGCAGGCCTTGAAGTCCTGCAGTCCTGAGCAATTTAAGGCTTTATAGGCCAAAGCCAGCACTTTGAATTGGGCCTAGGAGCTAACTGGCAGCCAGTGCAGTCAGGCCAGGCTTTGTCAAAGCATCTTGCCCCTTTGAGCAACCTGGCTGCTGAATTGTGCACCAAACCATCTTCAGAGGCAGCCCATATATAACGCACAAATCTGTAGTTTGTGAGAGAATTGTTAGCAGACCCCATCCCCCCCCCCGAACTACAGTCCTCAGAGTGGTCTAACAATCAATTTCCCTTTGCAGGGAACTCTGGGAATCATAGCTCTGGGGGGCGGGGTGAGGTATCAGCATCCATAGCAAACTACCGTTCCCAGGATTTGGGGGACAATGTGACAGCTTAAAGTGGTGTGATGCTGCTTTAAATGTATAGAGGGATTTATACCCCACTTTTTAATAGAGTCCTTCAGGTGGCTAACAGTGTTAGTCAAATGCAACAGATACACCAAAATACCAAACCAACCCAGCCCTAGGCAGCCCCACTGGAGCAGGAGCAGCCAGATGCTCCGTCACATATGGCAGTTGCTGTAAGTTGGCTCTGTGAGGGTCAGAGAAGTGCGTCCAACTGGGGCCGGCCCCAATGCTGCGCCTGCCTGCCCGCCCAACTCCCCCCCCTTCTTCTTCCATGGGGATTACAGCCGAGGAAAGTCAACGTGCAATAAGGACATATCACCACGTAGAGTAGGGAGACTGGGACGGTAATATATTACGCTAGGGACATAGGTGGAACAAAGTGACATCAATATTATGACTGCAGCCCTTAAAAACAGCAACCTTAATTGGTTTATTATAAGAGTCTTAGTTAACCTATTGATTAAATTTGCATCAATATGCATAAGGGCAGGAAGACCTCCCTTATTTTTAAATAATGCATTCACAATTCCTAGAAGGTATCGTTTAGAAGAGGCATTTCCTTCTATGTATATGATCCACAGATTATATAATTATTTTTAAAAGATGAATGGGACGTGCACATTCACATAAGGTACTTCTATATGATTTTGGGCTATCCTGCCTTTCACCCTGCAGTCCATGCTGTTCAAGAGAGTCTCCTCGAGAATGGCTTTTCCAGGACTACAGAGGAGTCAGGGGTGGGGAAGAGAGGATAAGAAAGAATTCACACAACCTTTGGATCCAACTCAATGTTGATAAAGATTAAAATCAGCTGCTATATTAGTTGGAGGTTCCTTTTTATTCCATTTTGATTACACACTGCAGCCCTAACCCTAATTTTGATAATGCCCTTCTCATTCCCAGCATCTGACAACAATTCCTTCCACAATATAAACATGGCTCCTCTCGGATGACTTTGACTCCCAACACTTGAAAATGCTGTAGAGATGCTATCTATCATCACCAAAATCCAACCTTGGAAAGCATGATCCACCTTATCTCACAAGTAAAGGTGTGGGAAAGATATTCTTTCATGACTTGCAAAAGCAGCACCACACATAACAAGAGGGGAAAGGGGAAGGAAACCGACAGCCAACCACAGTTATGAGAGACAACCTGCACAGTGAACCAAGTGCCAAGACAGTTACAAATAGCCAGGTGCGTACAGAGGAATACCAATCAAGATCTCTTCCTTCTCCCTAATCTCTATAAGGTGCCACTTTTCAAATAGCGCTTCAGGGTAGCTTGATAATTGCTTCTTTTAAAATACCTAAATTAAATATACATCTGTAATGCCAGGCACATTTGTCTCATACCTTTTTTCAGCAGCATGACACTTTTTAAAGTAGTGTTGCTGATTTATTACCAATATGACTTGATTTTCAGTCATTTCTGTGATTTATAAATCAGGACTTTACATACTCTGGGTATTAAGGTCTATTTTATGAATCCCAGTTTATTTGTTAAAGAAGACTGATTTAGTGGACAGATTTATTAATCACTGCTTGGAAATTCAAGCTAAAGTCTTGGTTTAAAGTCTTACATTTCTAAATTAGATGCTTAAATCAAATTCCAATTTATACATAATGGGCTTGGTTACAAGGGATGTGCAGGGAAGTCATACATCTGCTACCTGCTTCTACCTGAGGATACAAAAATATGTCATGTTCATCACGAGTAACTTAGTTATTACCAGCCTAGCTGGAAATGAAGCTACTTTTAATCAAAATCTTGCCCCCAGTTAGAATTGCTACATCTTGGGGTCAGAAATTTCCTTCATTACCAAAGGCTACAGCCTTCAGTCCACAGACTCCAAAGACACTTATTCTTCTGCAGTTTCATTTAAGTCAATAGAATTACTCCAGAACTATTTCAAAAGTAATTAGTATGAGACTGCAGCATAAATGGCAAATCTTTCCCCTCCACCCCAGTGCTTGGTGGCCTTGGTTGTAGTACTGTAGGAATGTGTTGTATTTTAAAGGCATGGCATCTATCTATATCTATCTATCTATCATCTATCTATCTATCTATCTATCTATCTATCTATCTATCTATTCCCTATTGTCCCCCAGTAAGGGTTCAGGGAGCACACTCATCATGCTAAATCCCCCAGATCCAGAAAAGAGGTCTATGTCAGAAAGAATCCAGGAGGAGTTGGAAGGCTAAGCTGAGTCAGGAGGGGAGCAGCCTTAATGCTGGCTGTGGGAGCCAGTCTGCTGCCACTACCATTGGCTGGTTCACTTTACCCAGCGATAGATTTCCTCCTGACGGACAGCTTGCTTATGAGTAGCAGGAAAGTGAAGCACTGGATATGATTAGGGAGCCACATGTAAAAGCCAGAGGAAGGAGATAACCAAGTGGAAGCTCTTTTCCGTCCAGCCAAAATCACGGAGTTTGGAAAGGACCCTGAGGGTCATCTAGTCCAACCACTCCAGTGCAGGAGTCTCATCTAAAGCATCCATGTCAGATGGCCACCTCTGCTTAAAACCTCCAAAGAAGGAAAGTCTGCCACCTTCTCAGTTAGTCCGTTCCACTGTCAAACAGCTCTTACCAACAGAAAGTTTTTTCCTGATTTTTGGTTGGAATCTTTCTTGTAACTTGAAGCCATTGCTTCAGAAAACTGGACACACTACTCCACGTGTGGTCTGATCAAGGCAGAATACAGCTGTACTATTACTTCCCTCGATCTGGACACTATACTTCTGTTGATGCAGCCTAGAAAAGCATTAGCTTTTTCCGCTGCGGCATCACATGGTTGACTCATATTCTCCAATCTGTGAAGGTTATCTTGAATCCCAATTCTGTCTTTAGTGGCACTGACTACCCCTCCCAGTTTGGTGTCATCTGCAGATTTTATGAGCATCCCCTCAATTCCGTCATCCAAGTTGTTTATAAAGATGCTGAACTTCAATAGACCCAGGGCAAAACCCTGTGGCACCCCACATGTCGTTTCCCCCAGGATGACGAAGAACCATTAACAAGAACTCTTGGGGTTCACTCAGTCAACCAGCTAGAAGTCCACCTAACAGTCACCAACCCAAATTTTACCAGCTTCTCTGAAAGAATATAATGAGGGACTTGCCAAAAGCCTTACTGAAATCAAGATGTACTATATGAAAGCGGCTTGTGCAATGCCTCTTCTTCAAATTTTAATATAACATAAGAGATCTAATGGGTTATACGAAAGCTGCACCTAGTCCACAATACAATTCCCGACCAGTGGAATTTGTTCAACACAATCAAAATGACCAACACCTTGGTCATTTTGATTGTGCTTTTCTGATCCATTTCATAAACTTGCTATCCAGTAGTAATTGGATAATGTGTCAGGAAAGCCAGCTTGGCCTTATGTGTTTTACTTTCACTGATTGGAGGATAGATATGCAACCAGTGGTTTCCAAAGACCAAAACTGCAAAACTGGTTGGTCAAAATAGCATCAACACAGAGCAATGAACTAAAGCAGGATGTGTGGGAAACTGCTGGTCCATTACTCATTTTCATCTGTCACATGGCCTTTCCTCCTTGGCCTTCTCTATCTCCTCTTTTCCTCTATGCTTCCTCAGCCCTGGAATAAAGCATTACAGTACCAGCAATCTGAGAAGAAGCAGGAATCCCAAGAGTTTTTTCAGGTACAAATTTGTGTCTCCCTGTTTTCTTTTATAAAGTTTTCTGTACCTTGCAGATGGTCTAGTTAGGCTTCGCTCTGACACCAGGGGAAGATAACTGGCAGTCTAGATACCAATCTCTTTGCCCAGCACCAGCTAGTGACCCTGATCACTAATATCACAATCTGGACATCACTTACTGTTTAATCAAAATACAAACATGAAATGTTGCATATGTCCTTGTCAGAATGCAGAGGCACCTTGAGAAGATTGGGAGGAATTCTTTCTTGTACACAGTCATGCCAGCGAAAATATGTACCACATTGTAGAGAGCATGATTGCACCTTGAAAGTACATGAAAACGTTGTGTGGGGGATGTTACTTGACAAAACTTGGATGGTGGACCTACATAGGATATCTGAAATGCAGATGCAAATCTTTACGAATTGTGTGTGCCAACAGCAGGAGACATAAAGATGAGACTAACATTTTCCTTCGCACAAGGTGCTGGCATGATAGAGCAGGGGCTTCTGCAGTGATATTTTGGAGCTACTTCACATCAGATGCCAAATGTTTGATTTGGAAAATCATTAGCAGACATTATCCTTGAGGTTGTGTGACTGGGGACTTGATGAGCAGTAGCAGCAGCAACCTCCCAACCCATCCTCTTACGAAATAACTCTTCAGTGTAGAAAGCTTTCCTTTTGTGTTCATCCAGGTTCTCTGTGTTTTCTCTGCTGCAATCCCTCCACATCTGTTCAACAAGCCCATCTCCAGCTGAGAAGAAGGTACTGATAGATTGCACAGCCATGTTGCACATTCTGTTGTTCTTGGCAGTAGCTTCCCCTTTTGCAGCATCCAAAAGTGCACAGTAGCTGCAAGTGCTACATTCTCTCCTGCACATTGAGACAAATTGGATGGCTTTGATATGACATGGACCAGCACAAAAGGCGTCGAGTCTGTCCCTGGAGGCATCAGCTGGCACTGCGCAGAACATCTTAAGCAGCACGTGACGTTCTGATGGGATGGTGGTAGCAGAAGTTAAAAGTAAGAATTGCCTCTCAGAAATTAGGATTTCAGCATCGTAGCCTTTACAAACAGATTAAAACTTAACTAAGGTGAAACTGCCTGTTGAACATGCAAAGCAAAATCAATGAGAGATTTCTTCTATTTCTAGGAAAGGGAAACCAAGCAGACTGCAAGTTTATCCAGGTCAATCAGAGTTCTCAACTCAGCTCAGACTTCTCTAGTAGATTCACAGAGAATACAGCTCACAAAAAAATAAGAAGGGGAATCAAGGAAGAAAAATATTTCCTCCCCCATGAAGACCTATTGTTTTGGGTTCTGGTTCCATGCTGGAATCCTTAGCTCAGTATTTGGATTCTTTTAGAACACCGTTTATTATACATTTCGTGCCCAGTGTTAGAAACACTATCATTTCATTAATGGACTGAAGGTCTGAAGCCTGATAATCACACAGGTTTAATTATGCTAGATGTTAGCTCATCATATATTTCAGTGAATCTATTTTAATTTCTCGCCCATCAGCTAATCCACCTACTCATTTCTTACTGGATCTCATTTCTTACCTGGTTCAAACACTGGCTCATGGTTTGATCATTCATGTCTGTCACACTCCACCTCAAGCCTCACCTTTCACACATGGTTTGATGAAACCATAGTTTATCCTGTGCAGGTGTAATAAACTAGAGTTTGACCAAACCAATAAGTGAGGGAAAAGATTTTCGGTGAATCAATATATCTGATATGTATGATTATATACTCACACAGAGTCTGCAAAATCGGACTTCTGCAGTTTAGTTTTGTATAATGTCTCTGTCTCATTCTCAAACTCTATAAAGAATTATGCTATTCTTAAAGAAACTCCTTTTATGGTTCTGTCTCTGAGTCAACTTTAATCCAGCAGCCAATCCAGCCCATGAGTCTGTGTCCTGAGATTGTTGCAGAGCTTAATTATAATAAATGCATGTAAAGCTTCCGGAAATCCCTTGTACCTGATTGAAGGTACACAAGCACCCCAATTTGTTATTACATGTTTTCATCCCTGCAAAACAGTCTCTCAGTTTTAAATTTACACTAAATATCTCACCTCTTGCCCTCCTCTTTTTTTTTTTAAGGTTACAGCTAAGCATTTAAAATTACTTTGCCCAATGTTGGAAAAGATATGCAGGAGTAGCCGTGCAATTCTTGGAACTGATTAAACCAAATCTTTTTCAACTGGAAGCTGAAACACTTTATCAGGCAGAGACAGCACCTACAAAGCAAATTCAATGGAATCACCTGTGCCCCTAATAGTAATAAAGTGGAAAGCAGACACTACAGCTGCAACCAGAATAATAAAAGAGGTAGAGCTTCTACTCTCTATAAAGTTATTCCACCTGGAACAGCCATCTTTCTCTGAATAAATTTGCAAATAAACACAGGCTGAGTTCTTGTTAGGAGGTCCCTCTCTCATGCTCTCGTTAGGGGACAAAATCTGTCACATGCTGTCTCACTGCTTCTGCAGAGACCACAGCTACAAATGATCATTCGTGTGTGTGTGTGTGTGTGTGTGTGTGTGTGTGTGTGAAAAATGCAGCAAAGAACTAGAGCTGAATGTTCTCAGCTTCAGATGAAATATGCTGCACATTCCAAGATAAATCAAAGCTTTAGATATGCTTCCCAAAAGACCACATTTCTTGACCATTCTGAAACCAAACACATTACACTCCACGTATACAGACCACATGATATGCCCCAGGGACACACACCTTTCACCCTGTAGTTTGAGGTGAGGTGCTGAAGTGGGAATTTTCGCAGGTGCAAGTTCTCAAGTTATGATGCTGTGAGACTTTGAATATCTGCACCTGCCCAAATGTTCTCATCTACTTAGCTATTGGAAGTCATAGTACAAAAGGACTGTCAGGTCAGCCACGCTTGGGCCGGATTATCAGTTGAATTTAATATAACATTGTTGTGCCTTCCTTCAGCTCAAGGCATCTTACAATATCAAAGCATTTTAAAACAACAATGAAAAGACAAGACTATGTACAGTAGGGTTTGCCTCTCAGTTTTTTTTAATAGACCTGCATTCTAGCACCACTTCTCATGAGTAAAAGATGTAGCAGCAACTTGAGTCTTTCTACATGACAAATTTTAACTATTTTCAAATCTCTTTAATTCTTAATGCTGCCTGATAATTGTAGGTCTGTGAAGGTGCTAAAGATCCAGTATCAAAGTGCTACAGATTATTTGGAAAGAGTCATGATCTATAAGCCAACCAAGAAGCCAAGCAATTGTTTTTGTAGTCTGAGTCCTTGAGCAGTAAAGATCTCTAGATACTGAAGAGAGATGCATTTTTTTAAAAAATTGCCCTGTCTAGTTTGCAATCACAGAAGCACACATGTGAATGATAATGCATCACATAGTGTTCTATAGTTGACGAAGTTAGGTTAGCTACACAGGAAGTCAAATCACTGGCAGCAAGTCTCAGTATCCACAGTTTCAGTGCAGAATTCTCCAGCATTACCTGAACATATCGAACCTCAGAGGTTCCCAATTAGCTAAGTACTGCAGACACCCTGCTTTTCAAAAGCCAACCACAGACCCCCTACTTTGGGAAATTTTGGTATCTTTCTCCAATATCTAGAGATCCAGAAATGAATCTAGCCTGTGAAGAACAGCAACTGTGGTTATGATGAGTGCCGTTAAACACAGTTTTTAAAAGTCATCCCATGAAGGCAAAACAGGGACAATTTTTTATCAGAGTCGGGTACCAAGAAATAGAAACTGTCCCTAATAAATAGAGACCACTGGAGCATGTGACATTTGCTTCTACATTTCTTTTGTAAGTGGCATTGCTTGGATGCCAGACAAAACAACAGGCAAGTGTTGCTGCTAAAGCTCTTATTACTTTAGTCTGCTAGAAAACCAAATAGTAAGTGGCACAATGTTAGGGGAAGGCAGAAGCAAAGGGAAGAGAGTTCTTGTTGCCTTTAAGCAGATAACTCTCCTCTCCAAATTAGATTAGGAACAGGGTTTCAAAGGAAAACAGCAGACTTGTGTAGTAGAAGAAATTGTCTGGTCATCCAGTGAGAATCCTTCCCAGTCAAGCACAAGTACAGTCTAGTGCAGCAGTTACACTTGCAAACCAGTAGGGAACCTTTCTCCCCAAATCATAGAATCATAGAGTTGGAAGAGACCACAAGGGCCATCGAGTCCAACCCCCTGCCAAGCAGGAAACACCATCAGAGCACCCTGACATATGGTTGTCAAGCCTCTGCTTAAAGACCTCCAAAGAAGGAGACTCCACCACACTCCTTGGCAGCAAATTCCACTGTCGAACAGCTCTTACTGTCAGGAAGTTCTTCCTAATGTTTAGGTGGAATCTTCTTTCTTGTAGTTTGGATCCATTGCTCCGTGTCCGCTTCTCTGGAGCAGCAGAAAACAACCTTTCTCCCTCCTCTATGTGACATCCTTTTATATATTTGAACATGGCTATCATATCACCCCTTAACCTCCTCTTCTCCAGGCTAAACATGCCCAGCTCCCTTAGCTGTTCCTCATAAGGCATCGTTTCCAGGCCTTTGACCATTTTGGTTGCCCTCCTCTGGACACGTTCCAGTTTGTCAGTGTCCTTCTTGAACTGTGGTGCCCAGAACTGGACACAGTACTCCAGGTGAGGTCTGACCAGAGCAGAATACAGTGGCACTATTACTTCCCTTGATCTAGATGCTATACTCCTATTGATGCAGCCCAGAATTGCATTGGCTTTTTTAGCTGCCGCGTCACACTGTTGGCTCATGTCAAGTTTGTGGTCAACCAAGACTCCTAGATCCTTTTCACATGTACTGCTCTCAAGCTTGCACTGAGTTCTCTACAGACAGCCTGCATGGTGCCTCTCACATTTTGGTGTCCTAATTTAGGATTGTTCTTTTAAATTAGGGAAACTTTTTAGTGCCAGCAACACTGAGTATATAGTATCTCCTGAAAATTATGTTTATGTGTATATTCATAACATCTGCTTTAATAGCGTTGCCACAGGAGTAAGCACAGGGTTGCAACAAGAAGTATGAATTAAAAATGCCCATGCATTATTAAGGCTGGGCATATAGAGTCTATCAAGGAAGAACAGCAATAAGACCCTATTCTATGGATATTGATGTGTCAATAATTCTCGGGCGATTTGTATATTCATTCATGCTTCATTAAAGATTCATTGGGGTTTAATTCCAGGGAACTTCAAATATAAGGAGCATCTCTGATAAAAGAGGCAAACCTTTTAAATATCTTCCTGTGTGTGTGTTTATTTTTTAATATAATCTATCAGTAATACTTTTACAGCAAAGTGTTTGTCACTCAGCCTGAAATGTTGTTTTGTTGGTTTATTAAAGATTTATTGCTATTTTACCCAAGAGGAAAATTTACATGGCATGCATTATAAACACTAAGAGCATGAGGCAGAGCTAAGGAGGACCCTATTCATTAACATGGGATTGTGCTGTTTTAAGAATGGAATGCTCTCTAAGAATCAGAGTATTTACTCACTGGGAACGGAATAAAAACAGTTCATATTTTATTCCACACTTGTGGAAATGTGACTCCTAGACCTCATGCACCAAATATTTGTAGCCTAATTTCCCCTCCCTTTGATACAGCTTGACCAATCAACCTGGGAGGGGAGATTTAAAAGCAGGTGCAGGTCAGGCATGGAAGTATGTGGGACAAATTTTTATTTAATTCAGAAGGACACATTTTGGAGGTCGTGTGAGACACAAAAAAGCATTTGGCATAATGGTATTACTATAGAGGGCGGTCTTGCCGAGGGCGTCTTTTTAGATTCAGGTAGGCAAAATAATAAACTCCAAGTTTATTACATTAACAGAGTTTATTTGCTAGAAAAGCTTGCAAAGCACAAAGTATTAAAAAAGCAGAGCTCTCACAGTCCTTTGAACTGCTGGGAAAAACCCTCCAAGGAAGCAGCTCATCTTCCCACTCCTTCAATCTAAGGCTTGTGTTGTAAATATTTTGTTTTATTATTTATTAAATTTGTATACTACTCATCATCTGAAGATCACAGGGCCATTTAAAACATAAAAATGGAATAAAAGCACCAAATATATAACATAACAGCAACAATTAAAACAATATCCCCCTCTGATACATTTTCATACCCCACAGCAGCTATTTGAGTGCCATAATCTCACATGATTTCACACCAAAATCTCCCCCTGAAAATGAGCTTTGCTGCGACCGTGCGCAGAGCCACAAAACTCAGTCTTTTGGGTTCCATAATCTCATGTGGGTCACATGACTTGTGCAGGAGCATGGGCAGGAAGATGCACATCCCAGTTTGGGGACTCATGTTGGAGTGTATGCATTTTAAAGGCCATAGATTCACCAAAGGCCTGGTTGGAAAGAAACATTTTCACCTGGTGCCTAAAGGTGCCAGACAAAGCTCACTGGGAAGAGTATTCCACAAACGGGAGGCCACAGCAGAAAAGCCCCCATCTCATGTCACCGCCCTGGAGACCTCTCGTGGAGTATGAAGAAGGGCCTCAGGTGAGGACTGCAGGGTCGAGGTCAGTTCAAATGGCGAGAGGCGGTCCTTGAAGTCCTGAGTTGTTTAAGGCTTAGGTCAAAACCAGTACTTTGAATTGGACCTGGAAACTAATTGGCAGCCCGTGCAGTCGGGACAGAATTGGCATTATATGCTCAAACTGCCTTGTCCTGTTGAGTAACCTGGCTGCCGAATTCTGCACCAGCTGAAGTTTCCAGGCTGTCTTCAGCCCCATGTACAGTATAAATGCATTGCAGTAATCTAACCTAGAGGTTACCAGAACATAGAAAAAAAGGGAAGTCAGTAAAGTCAGTAAATGAGTTAGGGGGGTTTCTGACTTGGATCTTCAGCTCTAAGACAGGGAATGACTTAGAACCATGACACTCATCCTTGTGTTGAAGGTGAAAGTTCATATTTTGAGCCTGGATGTAGAACTCTGGGTACTATGTATGTATGTATGTATGCATGTATGTATGTGTGTATGTATGATATTGGGCAGATGTAACCACTGGATAATTATGCCCTTCAATACAATGGGTTTGTGAAATTACAACATCCTTCCATGACAAGAATACCTTTGTATGCACTTTAAAAGCTGTGAATCTTTGTAGAGCTATGCAGTTTTAGCCCATCTTCCCAGCTATCCTGGATTATTTTGCAAAACACTTAGTAATTCAGTTTTGTCATAGAGGTTCACAGCATTAACACCCCAAGAGGATCTGGCCTCTCCCATAGTGACAACCTTGGATTCCAACGCAAATCAGGCATAGCTGTGTCTCCCAACTGTCCAGCCTGCAGCCTTGCAGCTCACACAACTCAATGCTCAACTGCGGACTTTGT